CTCTCTCTCTCTCTCTCTCTCTCTCTCTCTCTCTCTCTCTCTCTCTCTCCAGGTACGGACCTTCTCCGCCGCCCAGCATGACCACCTCGTCGGATTACTTCCGCTTCGTGACCAGAGATCGGTCCTTGCTCTTCTACGCGGCGGTCACCCTCTTTGCGTTCAAAACCTTGTTCTTCAAGACTTGGCCACACATGTCTGCGGATCTTCCGACGCTGATGTCTTTCGCGCTTCTCTGGCTATTGCGCCTGCCTCACGACGCTATCGCGTGGGACTTTGCTTGGCATTTCTTCTTCAAGGAGGAAGGACGCGTTTCTTACCCGAAGGTGTTGGGCGTATGGACTGGCATTATCTTTCTTGTGCATGTGGTGCTACGCCTTTCACAGCATGCCATGCTGGGCTACGTACAGGAAGTGACAGGCGGGTGCAAGTCTTACGTCAGGTACTAGGGGACGCGCCTTTCACATGTGCCTCCGAGCATATTAAGGCTTCTCTGCTCGTCAGCTTGGCCAGAGCGGCAAATGTAGCATGGAGGGGTCGCCCGAGACACGAGTTTGTACACTGAAATGACAAGAGTTCGTCAGCGGTTCACTTGACTACACTCCCAGTGATCGAGCAGGAAACTGCTTTGAGTCCGGCGTCTTCTGATGAAGGCAGTCGCATCCTAATGCACCTTCTTCCCACAGTGGATCATGACGAACCATCTCGATGATTCTTGCTGGCTCTCGGTGCTTTTCACGGAAACTGCTTGTTGGCAACAGGTAAGGACAGTCTTGTGCAAGCAGCTTCTGTGTTCATGTCTTCTAGCCCAGTTCAACTTCTCTTGCTGTTCTTCTCCTTCATCTTCCAGACTCGCATCATCAACGAAATACAGCAATATCACACATCAGCATTACACCCGGCTTCATTCGCCAGATACACAATATTCAACATGCACACATTCAGCATCATCGCGGCGGCTTTCGCACTTGGGGCTGCAGCTCTAGACTCTCCGACAGCGCCGGCTTCACGCTGCGAAAAGAAATGCAGGCAAAAATTCCCGGGTGGAAAGCCACTTGACCGTTGCCTGAAGGACTGCCAACTTGGTGAGTGGGCCCGCTATTGCATCCGCGACTCATCCTATACTGACAGGTTCCAGCCCTTTTGCCAGTATGGCCACATCCCCCTCTTGCACTTGAGACTGCAGCCTTGGAATCTACGACAATGCCAATCAGCGAATGCGACAAGAAATGCAGGGATCGGTTCACTGGTGACAAACGACTTCGGGGTTGCCTCAAGTACTGCAGTGGTGGTGAGCAACCATACTGCGACATTCGCGACTCTGACAATGCTGACATGCTGGAGGCCCTCCTCTCGCACTTGAGGCTGCTGCCTTAGACTCTACGACGACGCCGACCGGGAGCTGCGAAAAGCGATGCAGGGATTGGTTCGCCGACGGAAGCATACTCGACAGTTGCCTCAACTACTGCAAATCCGGTGAGTGAGCCTACTGTGCCATGATGAGCTTCGCAATTCTGACGATTCCAAGCCTCCAGCACGCTTGCTGTTCGTGAGGCACGTCCGGCCACCGTCACGGTAATTGAGACCTTGATCTACCACGAAACGATCTGCCCAACTACGCCGCAAGAGTGCATCATTGCGCCCAAAACTCAGTCCACTTCGCAAATCTCGCCGTCTCAGAAGTCCAGCAGCCAATCAAGTGAGCCACCGGTCTTTCCAACGTATCCCACTTCTCGCGCATCGTCGGCAGAGACCTCGCCGTCTGCTGCTACGACTTCGTCTCAACCAACACCAGCCCCAACGACTGCGAAGAGCACTGCAGTGCCAATCCAGAGCACCGAGGTACCAACGTCGCGATCGTCCAAGCCGAACAACGACTCACCAAAGAGCACGACCGAGTCGTCCAGCAACGCGGAGAAGACTCCCGAGCCCACTCCTGCCGAAGAGCGGCCACAAGAGTCACAGCCTGCTGTTGCAACGGGTGGTGCCTTTGTACACGGAGCCAGCTTTGGCGTTATCCTCATGGCCGTGGGAGGAGCCATGCTGTGAGCATTTGTAGCATTCTTGTTTACTGTAGTCTCTTGAGAGTTGCATGAATTGAAGTCTCTGTTCTTCCAGCATTGCGGAAATCTGTTTTGATCAGTCTACGTGTGCATACCTACGTTGATTGGGTCATCGAGGCCAGTTGCACTAAGTGAAGAAGTCGCGTCTCGTGCACGGACCAGCGGTTGGCTCGGGACGATGACATGGCCGTTGCAGCTGCCGATCGCCAGCTTTCCTTTGACGTGCCAACCGAAGCAGCTGCCTGCGCGAAGCATCGACGCCGTACGAGCAGATTCAACCAACATTCGGCAATCATTCAGACGGACCTCTTGACTGATGGTCACGAACATGGAGCGCTTACACGTGTCCACATCATAGCCATCGAGCGAAAGTGAACCCGAACGGAGCGCATCAGACACCATTCAAAGACTTCTCGACACGACACAACGATGCGGCTCGCATACTACGCTGGCGCCAGCACTTTGGCGGCGGCAGCATGTCTTCTAAAGGCCTTCTCGCAGCGACCGAACTTCTACTCGGCAACCGTTTATCTCTCGCAATCCAATGCCTGCCTACTCATTCTCACGAACCTGCTGCTCTTGTTAAGCACCTCCTTCCTCTACCTCCTCCAGCGCCTGCTCTATGGGCCCCTCCGACCAATCGAAATCGAACAGCTTAGCGAAAAGGCCTGGTATGCTGTGCTCGACACTCTGCTCGCTATGCCGAGCTTTAGAGAGGACGTCGGCGGCAGATTACTAGTCATGTTTGTGCTCCTCCTCGCAGGCAAGGTGTGGGGTTGGATCGGAGAAGGAAGAGTAGACGTGTTGGAGCAGGGACAAATGATGGGAGGGGCCAATAATAAACTGTTCCATGCACGACTCGCCACGAGCTTGCTTATCTCATTGGCATTTGCGACCGGCATGTTCAAATACTGCTTGGAAGTGGTGATCGAGGACCCGAGGCCCGGCATGATGGTCATATTCACCTTTGAATTTGCCATTCTATGTGTCTTCAGCTTGTTTACAGCCATCAGATATGGCCTTGCGGTTTGGGAGATCAAAGTGACGAAAGAGCAGACGACCGCCGCCATCGAACAGAGAAAAGAGGAGATCAAAGCGGAAAGAGCGGCAGCGATTGCGAAGGCGAGGGAAGAGGATAGAGAGATCCCGACATTCGATGAGCCGATTGATGTGGACGAAAATGAAGTCGATGTGCCGGGATGGGAGGACAAGAGAAGGGTGCTGTTCGTCGTGGAGGTGGTCACAGACTTTGTCAAGCTGGTCATCTACATCTTCTTCTTCACGGTCAGCGTCACCTTCAACGGGCTTCCCATGCATATCATGAGGGACGTCTACATGACATTTGCCAGTTTCAGCAAGCGAGTGACGGACTATATGGCGTACCGGAAAGCAACGAGCGACATGAATACGAGATACCCAGACGCTACGACGGCAGAAATCAGAGGCGATGCATGTATTGTGTGCAGAGAGGAGATGGTCGCCTGGGCTGAAGGAGAGCCACAAGCTGCTGCACCGGTCGCGGGTGCAGAGGGACAACCAGCTGCCGCACCAGCTCCAGCACCAGCACGAAGGAGGGATGAAGGAATGCGCGCAAAGAAGCTTCCTTGCGGACACATTCTGCATCTGCGATGCTTAAAGGCATGGCTGGAGAGACAGCAAGTATGCCCAACATGCCGAAGACCTGTGGTAGCAGCAACGCCTGCTAACGCAGGAAATGCCGCTGCTCCAGCTCAAAATGGCCAGCCTGGACAGCAGCCACCAAGACCGCGAGGCAGAATATTCAATCTCGGGCCACTGCGCATAGGAATGGTGAACGCGCCGCGAGGGCAAATACAGAACGTCCTTAACCAGATTAGAAACGGCGACGCGCAAGCTGTACAGCAAGCATTGGACCCAGCAGGAAATCCCGTCGCAGGCGGCGCGGGTCAGCAACAGCCAGCTGCTGGACGACCGTGGAACGCAGGATCGCAAGTGCCAACGCACATTCAACTGCTCCAGCTCGAACAAAGAATCGTGCGGGAAGCCCACAATCTCGGCATCGAGCAACAGCAACTGAACACCTTGCGCATGATGGAGGTCGAATTGGCAAGACTACGTTCACAACACATCTCGGCTCCGCCTACTGGCATAACCAGATACCCGATGCCAGGCTTCTCGCCGCAACATCAGCCGCTCCCCAGTCAGCTGCACGGCAATCCGAGTCAGCAGATGAGCAGCGGGCACGAGCACCTTCCGCCAGGTATGGTGTTACCAGAGGGCTGGACTGTCCTTCCGCTGCAGCCCGCGATGAATCTTGCTGCTCCACAGCAGAGCATTGGCTTATCGGGGCCACGTGTCTCCAACACTGGCGGAGGAGCGCAAGCCGCATCGCGCGCTCAGGATTCAGCGTCTGCTCAATCTCAATCTGAGATGGTCAGCTCGCAGGCTCCCGCATCCGTGGCGCAGAATGAAGGTCAACCGAGTAACCCAGATCCACAAGGTCCAGTTGACGAGCGAGGATCGCCGCTCTTCGTGCCGACAAATACTTTACCAGCGCAAGATAACCCATCAATTACGCAGTCACCCGATGATGCTGTGTTGCGTGCTGCTGAAGAACGAGGCGAAGCCGCAGGTCGTAAATGGGCGGCTGCTTTTGCAAGCTCCAGTGACTCGGCTTCTCTTCCGAACACATCCACACGTGGCCGGAGTGCGGCCGGCTCGCCAGGACCAGGAGAGCTCGTATCTGGTACGACGCCCAATCAAGCGCCTTCGCAGACACAAACGCAGACACCATGGAATAATAGCGGTTGGTCGTTCAACGACCAGTCTCAGCAAGATTCGCAGCCCGAGGTGAAGCAGTCAGCGATGTCAGTCAACTCCTCGTCACCGATCACTCGAAGTGCAAACCAGGACGATCCCGAGCAGAGTCAAAGCTACAGTGGCAAGGGCAAGGCTAAAGCGGTAGAGGTGGAAGATGTCCCAGATCCCGAGGCTTGATAGTAATACATTTCGTGTATTGAATAACTTCTGGCATTGGCTTACGCAAGAGCAGTGTTAGGGTATCAGACCATCACGCAGCGCTGTCTATCAAGGAAAACGCGTATAACATCTCTTATCCAGTAAGGTCAAGTACGTAGGCTCGACTACGTTCAGTCTCGCTAGCTAAAGCAAGCAGAAATGATACAACCTACAGAAAAGACCTATGCGATCACACTGTTCAATATGTAACGCCGAGAGAACGTGCCATCAAGTAGCCAGGTTAGTCCGAGCTTCTCGACCCACCACAACGAGGCAACCCCTTTTCCGCACCAGACTTCTTTCGGCGGACTCGGTTTCGTCACTTCTTGAACAACACCTCGAGCATATTCATCTGGCGGTGATGGCGTGTATCCAGGCGCGCGATCCCATCCAGCTTTGATCTTGTCGACAATCGGTTCATATGGCGAATCGCTCTTGAAAGCCATGTCCTGCTCGTAGAACATTGGAGTTGCCACAGCGCCGGTCATTACGTACACGACGTGACATCCAAAGGGCTGCAATTCAAGTCGCAAAGTTTTGGCGTACATCTCAACGGCGGCCTTGGTCGCATTGTAAGTCGCGCTTGTGGGCACATGGACCCGACTGGAGCCGCTGCCAGTGATGGCAACAGTGCCTTTGGCTGCAATGAGAAGCTTTGAAAAGGCTCGGGTAAGTGCCATTACAGCAATCACATTTCCTTCGAACATCCAAACGTCGTCGCTACGAATGTATGGCTCCTCTCCACCAGCCTCAATGGCTTTCTGTTCCTCTGCGTCGTATTCAATAGCCATGCTGACAGAACGCACGCCGGCGTTGTGATATAGGCAGTCCAGTTTGCCTCCTTGGTCGATGGAGATTTGTTCGCGTGCCGCAAAGACACTCTTGGCGTCTTTGATGTCAAGCGCAAGAAGCTTGATGTTGGGGTTCCCGGCCAGATTGGCCATCTTGGCAGTGTTCCGAGCTGTTGCAAAAACGGTCCATCCTCGCCTAGCAAACTCCAGTGCTAGAGCATTGCCAATGGTGGCCTCTGAGCAGCCAGTGATGAGTACAGATTTCCCCATAGCTTAGTTTGAGTTTGAAAAGCTAGTTCAGATATGACTGTAGAGTTGGGCAGTAATAGTAGAGCATGATGGGGATAATCGCAGCGATTCCATACTGTTAAAGACAGCTTAATTTGATACATGCCTCGGTATAGACACTGATAGAGAATTGCTTAACCCCCTCAACAATCACTTAACCCCGCCGACACTTGCTTAACCCCGCCTGTAACGGGTTAAGGTAGTCTATGGTATGCTATCTGCGTCGCCGTCTTTGGGGATTGCTTGCCTTTTCTGAATTGTTTGAATCGATAGCCGCCGCCACCGCCGTGGCTTCCACGGAGTGACATTGTCATCACTGCTATCAACTTGCGTATGCTTACGCGAGCAGAGGCTGGTAGTATCGGACTGTGGGCGACGTTCCTCGGCTCTTCCATAACATCAGACGAGTCTACCGACAACTCAACCTTCCCGTTCGTGCAAGGCTCCAGCACATCACGGAACGATCAACGCGTCGCGTCCACTTTGGATGGATGAATGCCAAGCACTTTCCAGATCAGCCATCTTCCTGGCAGAGATTTTCTCAGGCATTTCTCAGGCCAACAAATGATTGCAGATAATGATTGTGGTCCGAGCCCAAACCCTAACATGGGGTGCCCTTTCTCGTATGACCAGCTCGTCATGAGTTGCTGACTACTTCAAGGTTCTTGTTGCTGCTGATCAGCCAATTCTCCCTTCGCTCAATACTTACCATGCGAGACGAGCGGTAAGGACGACACCAAGACAATGTCCACAGGCCGCCTGGTCGCAATAACGCACTGTTTGGTCTTCATCTCCATCAAGCTCCCAAGTCTACTATTTCAGCCAGTTCCGGCCTTCGCCTTGCGATGCGGGATCGCTTTCGTACTCCATATTCTGGCTTACTGGGCGCTTGCCATCGCGGCTGAGGGAACTAAAACTTCGACAATACAGGCAAAGACCGTCACTGAATATGAGAAGCGCAAAGGTGCGAGAGATGTGGTGCCAGACGTAAAACAGATCGGCTGGATAGCGGCAGTCTATTCTCTAGTCCTACCATACTTGAGCCCGGGACTGCATCCATGGACTGAGTTGGTGGTGCGTGTGTCGTGCTTCTTTTTGGCTTGCAAGGTCGTGGATTTGGTTGCGTTGAAAGCACAAAAGCCGCCACTGTTGCTTTCAGAGGGTGATATGAAGGACTGGAAAAGGAAAGTGGAATATGTTGGCCGGCTCTTCACGGAAGCAAGGTATGCTTCATTCGATATCGCGATTGATGACAAGCCGAAGCGAAAACTCTGGCGTGAGAAACATTCAGCAAGGTACGAAATCTTCTGGATCTGGGGACCGCGAATCATCATTCCGATCGCGGCGTTGCTCTTTCCGGTTGCGGAACTGCAAATATTACTGGTTCTCGTCATCATTAGTTCGGGACTGGAGTTCGAGCATGCGATTGTACACCCGTACTGTCCGAATTATCTGTTCCTTGCTCCCTTCGCGGCTTCTGGTATGGCGGAATTTTGGGCCGTACATTGGCATCAGGGAGCGCAGAGCTGGCTGATCTCCGTGGGGTTTCGGCCTTCGAAGTGGTCTGCTATGGAAGTTCTGAGATGTTCAAAAGACATTGGAAACGCTGTTGGTGTGCTAGGAACCTTTGCACTGAGTGGAGTGTGGCATGCGTGGTGTGCGGCAGTGTTGAGTGAACGTCCTTGGATGGCTGGGACCAGCATGTTCTTGGTCTTCGTATCACAGGGTGTAGGATGTTTATTGGAAAGGAGGTTGTGGAAGAATCGTGATCCTAATTGGGTCATGAAGATGATAAGCTGGACTTTTGCGATCGAGTGCGGAGCGTTGTGGCTGCGATGTATGGTTCCGACGCTCAAGGAGGGAGTGCTCTTGATGAGTTTGCGCTGACAGACATTGGACAATTCTTTGTCATTCGGATCGCGATGGAGAATGGAGAGTAATGAGTCGACATGCTGGCACCAATCTGCTGATGATCACTTCCAAGGTGCCGATCACTGCAACTGCCGTTCGATGTTGAAGTCCTTTCAGAAAGATATCCCTTCGACGGTCAACCCGTGGTCGCTTTCCCGTGGAATCCCTACTTTGAGGCCAGTGCAAGCCCTGCTGTGGCTGAAATTGTTATCAGGTGTAATGCTGAGTGGTCAAATCACCTTGTCGGACGGGATTGCGGAAACTCTGCTAGCGAGGTCGAATTCGAAGACCTACAAAGGGATCGCGAAAAGCCCCACATCAACCATTCAGATCACCAGATTCATCGCAATGAAAGCCAGTCTCGGAAGGAGGCAAGCGGACCAGGCTTCGTGCTTATTATAGAGTTCCTGGGCGGAGAGTTCATGGCGCGACTGGGAATGACCTTGGACGACATGCCAGGACTCTTCATCAGCCGGCGCTGACCACTTCGCGAGACCGACAGTGAGACGCTTGTCTTGACCTCTTCCGCTCGTTCTTAGATGCATTTCGCATCTGTCATAGAGTGCGGATAGCTCCATAGCACACGGCACGAGCCTGAACAATCGAGCTTGTATCTGCATGAGAGTCGGAAACAACCATGAGGCTCCGGACTCCAATAAATCTCCTGATGCTTTTGCTCTTGTTGCTTGTGGAACTCTAACGAGGGTTGTTACCAACAAGGACCGCTTGCAGCTTGGGGTAGCATATGTGCTGTGACGTGACACTGGAAAACTTCTAGCTCTCGCGATCCGGTTCTTGAACGCCATTTCAAACGCGATATGTCGGCCTCGTGCCCTTTGCCACAGTATGTACATGCCTTTCCACTCTGGGTCAGATCAGAACCAAACTTTGGACACAATATCGGCTCATCGCAAGATACACTCCCAAGCAAAGAGCAAGATCTGATAATTGAGCCTGCGAATGCATACGACCAATCATCGACATGAACCTCTATGCATCGTTACTCCCTCTTCTTACGCTGTCTAAGCTCGGCATAGCTACTGTGGCCATCACACGCTGGTCAGACTCACGCTGCGACGGCGCCTGGGTCTCCTGCACCAACATTACTACTCTTTCATGCTGCACCACACTCAGAGTCACAGGCGTGGTAGGTGCCCGCTCCGGAGGTTTCGCATACATGCCTGAAGGAAGCCGTGGTTATGCATGGCAAAGCGACTACCAAGGAAACAAGTGTCGTAAATTCCGTGGCTGGGTGAGCGAAAGTGGGTGCATCGATGCATTTGCTCGTGGTTTCGCGGCATTCGCTGGCTTCTCGTGGGTAAGAGATGTGGGCTGGCAAAGAGACGAGGAATCTGCAGAGAAGATAGAGGAGGCATTCCGGTGTCAAACGAGCCAGGAGCCAGATACATTGGGCTTGAAGGACGGATCCGAGTTCAAGCTGGATGATATGAGCGACGAAAACATGCAGTCGCTGTGGGAGCTGGCAACCAGCGGCAGGAGTTACGAGGAACTACCCGATAAGTTTGTTGCCTATTTCAAGGGACGGAGAATGTGACATGAATCAATCGCTGCTCTTGGTTGGGCCTTGTCATTCCAGCTTTCGTCATTCGACCTGAACAGTTTCCGAAAAGACGTTCTTTGCAGTTTGTGGCATCTCCATCTCTCTGCCTTTTTGCCACTGAATAAGTCTCATCTTATTCCTCCATCGACTTTTCACTAAACGCCTGGATCCCATTTTCCCAATTCCTCGCGATCATCACGTCCGCCACTCTCCACAGTCTCTTCGCACCCTCGCCTCTCTTCGTCTCTCTTCTTTGCCCTCTTTCTTCGCTGTTTCCTTCGTGCTGTTTCAGCCTTCTTTGCTGCTACCCTCAACTCTAGGCTCCGGACCTTTTCAGCGGTCTCTTTCCTCAATTCTTCCACTGCGAGTCGGCGTGCTGCGACGCTAGTTCCGGCGGTGCTAGCTGACCTGGCCGCATCGACACAGTGGTCATTCTCGAAATTGGGTACTGCTGGGCTGTCCGTGGTTGCCATCGACGGGTCTGCAAGTGGGTGTTGGTCGCCTTTTGCAGATGTCGTAGGTGCGACGACAAGTTGTTCGTCCCCTGTGGCTGCCAAAAGTGAATTGATGATCGGCTTGTCTTCATCAGCACAGAAGCCGAACGGATGAGTAGCGCCGCTTCCGAAGAGGCCGATTCCCAGCTCTCGAGCCGCGTGCTCAATGATTCTTTTCAATCTGAGAAACTCTTTGAGCTCGTCAAGATCATAGACCTGGCCATTGAAGTCATTCGGTCGTGAGATCGTACGCCAGAGAATAGGCTTCTTCTCATCAATATGGCGGTCGTTGAAAGTCGTGAAGAGATGCTGAGCTTTGTTCGTGTCGTCGTTAGGGTAGGTGAATTCTGGAAAGATGTGAATAAAGAGTCGCTCGACCGTCTGTCTTAGCGCCCTGATTACACTTCTTCTGGCGTTAGAGGGATGAAATTGCCACTGGGTGTACAGTAGGTAAAGCACAGAGTACTGCTCAACGGTCCATGCATTCTTGCGCCTAACCACGCGCTTAACGCCTCCTGCTTTCTGTCCTCTGGGCATGGTGAACTGCTGATATGCTATAGGGAATCAGTAAAAGGATGGAAGGGAGGCGTTTGGGTTATATGGGATGCCACAGCAAACAGATCTTTCGATGGCTGGCAGTAGAACAGAGCAAACAATGTCTGTCTCTGACAATGGAGTTCTTCTAATCGTTAGGAAGAACGTATTAGAGCAGCGTCGTCTCCTCGCGAATACCACCTTGTCTTCGCCATGTTTCGACTAGCTCTCGGCCGGACCACAGAACTGCTTTCATATGCGGGATGTGCTGTGATCCGTGTGCGTGCAGTCGTCGAGCGAAGCAGCAGAGCCCTAAAGACGGATGCATCGTTGCTCCATTGCAATGTCGAGCATGACCACTGTTCATTCGTGCGCCATTCTCTTTATCGCCTCAACATCGGGAGGCGACCACATCTCAACTGTACAAGTCTCTATGCCATCTATGTCTGTACAACTACCGTTTTTGGCGGAAATCCAAGCTCCACTACGCGATGCTCGTACAGAACTCACTCACAGATCTTTTGTACATTACTCTTAGACACACTGGCCACCACGAGCCGAGCAGTCCGAAGTTCTGCTTCGTACCTCACAGCTTCCTCCTCTCCCTAATTTCCTCATAAGTCTGCACTTGATCGCCGACCTCAAAGCTTTCCCAGTCGTCAAAGCCCATGCCACATTCCGATCCCTTACGCATCTCTGTGACATCTTTCTTGACGTTCTTGAGGGAATTGATCGTGCCTGCATCATCTTTGGTCAGCCAGAACTTGGACAGGTCAGGAAAACCGGGCAAGAACTCACCATCATAAACCTTTTCGCTCCCTCGCATGACTCTCACCCTCGACCCCTTCTCAACCATACCATTTCGCACTTTACAGCCCGCGATCTTCACCTTCTTCCTCCCACCAACGCTGATTTCAAAGGCAGCGCCGATCTCGGCTTCACCAAGCACACGCTGCGTGAGAATAGGAGGAAGTTTCTCTTCAAGCACAGCCTTCACATCGTCGAGCACTCTGTAGATGATGTTGTTTTCGAGAATCTTTACGCCTTGCGCCTCGGCCTTTCCTTGCATCTGTGGATCAGGTGGTAGGTTGAAGGCGATGATGTGGCCGCCAGCGGCATTGGCGAGCTCAATGTCGCTCTCGTGGACAGGTCCCACATGACTCTGCAATACAGATGGTGTGATGAGTGGATTGGAGACAGACATGATGTACGCCGACACAGCCTCAGCGGATCCAGAAACGTCGGCTTTGATGATGAAAGGTACGTCAATCTGTCCGCTCTGTTCCTGTTGTGGAGCGTCGAGGTCGTCCGGCTTGCTGACGACGTCTGCAGTGCCACCTTCAGCATTTGCAGTACGCTGAGCTTGTTTCAAGGCTTGTGCAGCTTCCCGCTCCCTCTGCTGGCGTTCGGTCGCGAGTCGTCGTGCTTCATTGATAGCTTCCATGTCGGCAGCGGCCTTTTCTCTCTCCTCACGTTCCTGTCTGTATTCGACCACGGAGGTAGCTTTCTGCTCGCTTGGTGCTTGCAACACTTCATCGCCAGCCATTGGTTGGTCTCTCCACCCATCGACCTCGACCGGCATGCCTGGGCCGACCTCTTGCAGCGTTCGGCCTCCCTCATTGCGCAAGCTGCGAACGCGGGCCCATGTCTTGCCAGCGACAATGACAGCGCCTGGCTTCAGAGTACCGCGGCGAACAAGAACAGTAGCCACGCGCCCATTTGCCTTTGTCGTGGCTTCGAGAACCCAGCCCTCAACAGCTCCGTCCGTTTCTGCGCGCTGGTCGATGATCTCCGATAAAGCGACTACAGTTTCTTCTAGACCATCCATGCCTTGGCCAGTCTTGCCGGAGACAGGCACGACCTGCGTCTCGCCGCCAAAGTCTTCGATTTCGACACCATGACGAGCAAGGTCCTGCTTGACGCGCTGGATGTCTGATCCCTCCTTGTCGACTTTATTGATTGCGACGATCATCGGCACGCCGGCAGCCTTAGCATGCTTGATAGCTTCTAAAGTTTGAGGCTTAACACTATCGTCGGCTGCCACAACGAGGATGACAATATCTGTCACGTTTGCGCCGCGTTGTCGCATTGCCAAGAACGCGGCGTGGCCGGGGGTATCCAGGAAGGTGATCGTCTTGCCGCTGCTCGCCATTGGAACACTGAACGCACCGATGTGTTGTGTTATGCCTCCAGCTTCGCCAGCTGCGACAGAGGACTTGCGGAGGTAGTCCAGGATCGTTGTCTTGCCGTGATCAACATGGCCCATGATAGTGACAACAGGGGGGCGTGTGGGCAGGAACTCCTTATCCTCAACTTCTGGACGAGGCTTCAGATCACGTTCTTCCTCTTCACGCACGCCAGTGTCGATGGTAGGGTCGAAGTTGTACTCCATAGCAATCATGCCACTAGTCTCAGAATTCAATGTCATGCCGGGGAACACATCATCGTAGCCAAGCTCCTGAAGGCGGTCGATAAATTGTTCGTATCGAACACCAAGCATCTGGGATAGCTGCTGCACGCTGACAAACTCGGGAATGCTGATAGGGGTTGCGTCTTCAGCTTTCTTGACCTCGCGCTCGCGTCGAGCATTTTTGAGTCTTTTCTCACCCTTAGCTTCCTTCTCAGCTTGGCGAGCTGCTTTACGTGCACGGAAGTTGTCGCGAGCTTCAGCTTCGTCGTCTTCTTCTTCATCGTATTCGCGTCTGCCCGCGCGTTGGGCTTTGCGACCAGCGCCCTTGCCCTTGTCAGCAAACACATCGTCTTCATCGTCGGCCCATCGACTCTTTCTGGCTGCTTTGTCACGAGAAGCACGACTCTCGGGTGCTGGAGCATGCTCATCGATATCGGACTCCACCTGGAAACGTTCGGAGCGCCGAGCTGATTTGCTGTCTGCAGTACGTTCTGTTTCGGCAGCTCTAGCGTGTTCATGCCGCTCGGCGTGCTGGCCAGCTACTGCTTCCGGATCCCACTTGCTGACCTGGCCTGGATTGGTGGCCACGCCTTCATCAGCGGCGACAGTGGGGACAACCCGGAATCTAGGCTCACGTTTGGGCATGTCCGGCGGCTCAGTTGAGATAACCTGGTCGGCTCCCCATGCTTTTCTCGGTCTCTGATTGTTTGCTGGCTGGCTCAATGGCTCGCGGTTCGCGAAAGGGTTGCTGGCTGCTCCAGCTGCAGAGCCGCGCGCGCCGAATGGGCTCGGTGCGGCGAATGGGTTGCTCAATCGGTCATTCTCAGTGGTCCGACTCTCAGATGACCTTTGCGTCCTTGTATCCGATCCACGGTTTTGACGGAACTCGTTCGATTCGCCGTTCGGCCTGTCGAATGGACTGATTTTTTTGGTGCAGTAGCGAGCAATGTGACCTCTCTCGCCACACCTGGCGCACTCCTTATCTCGATAGGCTTGCGCTGGGCCGTTGTACAGCCGGCGGCTGCCTTCCATCTCCTGGCCTTGGACAGACTGACTACGCTGTTTCTGTGCCTTTTGCTTCTCCTCCCGTTCTTTCTGCAGCTTCAAGCGCTCTTCCCGTTCACGCACATGATTGTTGAACGTCCAGTCTACCCAGCTCTCATCGTCAAAATCTTGGTGAAATTGTGAATGTTGTGTTTGCTGTGGTTGTGGTTGTGGCTGTGGCTGCGTTGGCGGAGGTGACGTAGCGATGGGCTCTGTTGGTTGACTCTCTCTGCGTCGAAGATGCTGCCAATTCGCGGCCTTCTCCTCGTCAAAGCTGGATCGAGTTTGATATTCGTCCGGCGAGAAGGGCATGGCACGGTAGCCACTGTCGCTGAGAGATACGCTAGGTGCGCGTGCCGTAGAATTAGCCTGGGGGTATTGGGGCGGTGTGTACTGTGAGTGGGATGGCGGCTCCGTTGTAGTGGCAGGCGGCGGAGGAGCGACAAACGATGGAGGCGAGGCTTGCCATGTCCATTGTCCACCCTGCGGATGTCCATGAATCGGTTGCCAAACAAGCTGGCCGCCAGAAGGGATCATGTGCGCCGGAGGAGGTGCAGCAGTCGGTGGTGGGGGTGGTGTTGATGCTTGCTGCGACACTGCTTTGCCAGTTGAGTGCCCAGGTTGACTCACAGTCTGCTGCGTCTGCTGTGCTAATTGTGACAATGGCGAGGGAGCTGCAGGAGCCGCGGGCTGTTGTGCGTTTTGTTCTGGGACCTGATCTTGCGTTGTCTCCTGTGCAGGCTGATCGATAGAACTCGGTGTAGACGTCCCAAGCTCGGACTGCCCATGATGGCTCTCTGGTGACACTGACTCCTCTTGAGCGGGAGGTACGTCCGATGTCGCCGGCTGCGCTGTGGACTCTGCCTCCGCTTCGAAGTGACCAAACGAGCCCAATCCTGATGCCACAGGCAGAGACTCAGCCGCGGACGGACGCGACGAGTGTGGGGGCCTTTGCGGCGAAGCAGCTTCCACATCGCGTTCCGCTTCAAGCGCTGCAGTTTCGGATGACACTGGCGTATTGTCCTGCAGTCGAACAGTCTCTTCCGTAGTGGTAGGCTGCACAGCGCCAGAATCGAAATGCTCGGTGTTTCCGACAACGTCGTTGCGATGCGGTCTTGAGTTCCTTTCAACTTCTCCTTCTCCTGAATCCTCAATAACGCTGCTGGAGTACTGAGGAGAGCTTGCAGCGAACTTCTTGGCCGCCCGGTCATAAGCCTCCTGCTGCGACTGTAACTCGGCGTCATTTTGCTCGTTCCGTCTCTTCACACCTTCGATAGTCTCTATGTTCTCATTGTGCTGTTGATCCACATCGCCATAGGACGGTCTGAAGGATTTTGTGTAGCCGCCTAGACTCACTCTAAATGCGGAATTCTCTTGGACATTCGTGTTCGTCTCGGCGGCCCTCCTATGGACGACTGCTGCTGGGGCTTCAGCGTATTCCAGAGGCGCAGTCTGGGTACTGCCAACACCCCATCCGGAGGAAGGCTCATTGGCAGGTTCGGTTGTGACAGCCGCTGGTACTCCAAATGGGTTCGACACTTTTTTAGGGGGTGGTTTCACCACGGACGTCGTGGCAGCTCGTTCTTTCCCCGCCTGGGTCTGCTCCGCTCTGCCAGGGCTGCGTGCACCAGTATAGCTGATCCGAATCCTTGGCTCTCGAGGGGTGGCCACCGGCCGCACATTTGGGGCAGCATTCGGCTTGGAGTTCCGTGAATGACCGCCCTTCATCATGGCCTGACCCAATGTACTGCCGCCAGCAGAGAGGCCAATGCCGCGAGATGCCCTGGACAGCGATTGCTGCTTGAAGTGCTGTGACCTCTTTTCCCTCTCCACCTTGCGCTTTGCTTCGGCCTCTTGCTTCAACTGATTCTTCTCCTCTTCCTCTTTCCAGAGCCTTTCTTGCCGGACCTGGTTCTGCTCCGTCTCAAATTGTTGCCTCGCAGCTACCCGATTGGCCCTCTCCCTCTGTTCCGACATGGAGAGGGAGGAAGTCGGGTCGTACCATGCTGGGAAAGAGTCGGAAGCATTTTCGACGGCCGACGGTATCGATGCAGTCGCGGTGCGTTGGAACGGCGCACGGGTGGTAGAGATGCTTCTGCGCTGCGAGGACGATCGTAGAGGGTTTAAAGGTACAGAGGTAGCTGGCAATTCGATGGCTCCTAGTCGACACGCGCAGAAGATGCAGAGCGATGACGCCGAAGCCGTCTGGTCATTGTTAGCGATGCATCGACAATATTCATGCGAAGACTGACCCTCAATGTGCGTTGCCTTCGCATTTCTCCCAGCGGTTCCTTCCTCCCAATGTCTCCCTCTCCTCCCAAGATTATTTGGCCGATGCGGAGTACGCGGGAGTCGTTGCTGGCTGCTGACTTTCTGCAGACTGCCGAATTTCGGCCGAAGCCATATGCATGCATGCATGACGCCGACGATTGAATCGATGCACGTCTCTCTCGTCTTGCTTTCTGTATACACTGTTATCAGAGCTGTAACTACTTTGACCATCCAACATGTCGCGTCAGGTATGTTGGCTGAAAACGTTCTCATCGCCCACGGCTGACAGTATTTCAGCAAATCGTCTCGCATTACACCCGCCTTCTCGCCCGCTGGCCCAAAGATGTTCTGCGTCCCGAGAAGACCTTCCAACAACTCGTCCTCGAGCCACGGCTGCAAGCAGCTCCTTCCGCAGCTCCTGCTGGTGTAACAAGTGAAGCGATCACCAGCGGCGCCTCGACGAACTACACACGAAATGAGAGCAACGAAGTCAATGCCGCATATCTTTTGCTAGAGAACAGCTTCTCCAAACAATTCCCTCCGGGCCAGAGAGTCATGGAGCCAGCGAGTAACCCTGAGCACTACAAGAACCTAGAACGAGAATTACAAGAGCTGCCGAATCGGAGCGTGTTTGGAAACTTTGTGCAGAGATTGAAGAGCATGGTGCGATTCAAATGAGGAGGTTCAGTGATGAGTGGAAAGCCATACACAATATCAGCAGCGGACCGCGGCCAGGTGAACAGGAGCTCGGCTTGCCGTTGGTCATCCACGGTCAGACATCACACCGACGCAAAGCGACATCGCGCCGCCGGAGCGAAGCATGCCCGTGGCATCGCCATCACACCCGTCATGCAGACAGAAGGAAACCTCGGGCTCCTCTGGCCTGTATGGGCTATAACTGCATCGATGCTGAGCTGAAGGCATGCATCTCGATCTCATCTGAGAATTTGTATCAACATGTATTATTAGTTACGCCGGGGAGCAGGCAAGCACGATGCTGCATGGAGATGATCGGCCATGTGTGCTATACATGTATAAATCGCGGCGTTCGTCGTGTAAAATGCGCTTGCGGTCTTCGTCGGCGTCGAATGAATTCACCGTCGCTCACTTGGATCCAGTCAGCAATGGTTTTTATACATTTTGGACATATTAAACCGCAAAGAACGACCAAGTGTAATATTGAATAATGGAAAGAGCTCTACCAGCTAGATCTACTCACCTCACCTTCGACAAAATTCCCGCGGTTTTCAAAGAAGCTGGGCAAAGGTTAATCAGACGCTCAACGTTGATGCTATTATCGCAGCTACAGCCACTAGCACCTGGATTGATCTCGAGCGACGACATATATGTAGATGGTGCGGAGAATGCCGTCTTTGTTCCCACTGCGTCACGTTTTTGTTTATGCAGTAGCGAGGACTGCAATGGTCACACTCTCCCACCTCAACCTCACCGCGATCAGCGAGACAGGAATTCTACCCCAGAACATCTTCCAGCGTCCCTTGGTCCGCCAAAGCCCCAAGCCATCTCCTCACGAACTTGCCATAGTCATGTCTCCGATGCTTTGCTCGCTCTACATCCCGTTCCTCCGCCTCCTTCACGTCTCGCATGCTTGAACGGATCTGTGTCTGCCGCGATGCGCTCTGTTGCCGCAACTTGATCAAGTGTGCGAGATCATCATTACCCTCCAGCTTGTCCGCAATGTCTTTGGGCACCTTGGCCTGATCAATGTCGAAATTGAACACATCGTACTCATTTGATGGACCGAGAAGAGTCTCGGCCTTCCACTGCAATTTTACTTCATCGAGATTGCGCCAGTCATCGTAGACATTGTCTAGGCGCTTGTCAATGGTCTGCAGGGTTTTAATGTTGCAGCAAAGCTCTTGACGGTCCTCAAGGATGGAATCGTGAACGACAGCTAGAAGCGTAAAACCGTGTTCACCTTCGTCTGAGGCAATCTGCATGCGGTCCTGCAGAACGGGTGCGACCAAATGCAACCAGTCTCCGGTCCCGCCGTCGGCACCGTTGCCACCAACTCCGAAAGAGCCCATGTCGTGAGGGTGGTAGTCGAGGCCGTCAAGCTTCCAGACATGGTCTCCGATGGGCATGTAGGCGATGAAGTGAAAGCCGGACTGGTGCACTTCTGGCGCTTCGGAGACATAGACGTCCCGATTGGGAGCTTTGCGTGCTCGGCCAGAGCGGCGAGGCTGTTTTTCGACGTCTTCCTCGGTCTCTGAGTCGGGTGGACGTGGTCCCTTCAGCTTGGTCACGCGCGCCTTCCCTTTGCCGCTGAGTTTGAAGTCGCCATCTGCGTCTGGCTCGGAGCTCGACTTCACCGATTTGACGGCGTTCTGTGTTGGCTTTGATGGTTTCGTCGACGAAGCATCTGTGTCTATCGTTGGTGTGCGACTTGTCCTGCTTGCGCGCTCGGCCCTAGTTGGCCTTCTGGGCGCCTCCGCGTCGGACTCGTCTTTCACCTTGTTCTTTTGCCTTGTAGCTTTAGCTTTTTCGGCTGCCGCTTTCTTCTTAGCTTTAGCGATTTTTCCCCGAGCGTGCAAATCAGCAGTCAAAATATCGTTCTCGCTTGCGAATGAGTTGTGAATGCGCCTCACAAAATCAAAGCGATTAATCTCCCGGCCACGCTCGATGGGATCAATGTCTTTGGTGAGTTCCCTAAACTCGCGAAGTTCCTTTCCCATCTGCAGCCCAGGAATGTTATTGACGATGTTCAAGGTGGCAATGGTAGCACAGGCAAAATCGGGAACCTGGTTCGCAAACCAGATGTGTTTCTGCGGAGCTCCGGTGTACTGGTCTTGCTCATCTTGGGTCCTGTAGCGGAAAAGGAATATGAGTGCATGCACTGGTCTCCTGTACAATGTTAGCCAGTGCAGAGCAGTTTGAGATGCATGGCTTACGGCAACATGGCGAGTCCCTCTTCGTCAATAGATAATACTTCTTGCACTTTGGCTCCTCGAACTCCCATCTCTTTCAGCATGACATTGAAGAAAGCCTGGTAGGAAATTAGCTCCATGCAACGCACACGATGATGTTTGACTTACTGGCTCACTCTCCATTTCCACCCAGCCCTCCCAAGCGTCGCGGTCTGGAGGTGCAAGTGCGACATTGCCGTTGGTCCCATCACCGTTGGTCGTCTCCTGGTGCTTCCGCTTCTTTCCTCGTTTCGGCGGCATTCTTGCTGCGGTACTGTCAATGTGGCGTTAGTAAATTGTCGTCGACCAGTTGGTGACGAAGCAATGGATGCGAGCAGGCAGGCAGGCACGGTGAGGCACGTCAGGTTGGCGGCACAAAAGGCGAGCAAACGGCAGACATGCCAAGTTTGCTCGTCGAGGCCGCACAAGGGTTCGAAGACGAGGAGGCCATTGTGTTCAGCATCGGCATCGGCATCACTCACATTTGCGACAACTGAGCAGCAATTGGGGTGGCAGGAAATCGCGGAGTGCGGCACCTCCCGAAACCGTCCAACAACGCGCAGCGCGTCCCGCAAAGAAACTCGAGATGTTTAGAGCGGTCCAAACAAAGCAATCTCGTTCACTTTCCCACCACACCGTGACTATCCACACCGCTTGCAGGTACAAGTGATTGGACTCGATTCTGGAACGCTTCCAAACTACATAACGCACCAACGCCATACAGAGCGATCGATTGCAGCACCTCTCGAACCCGATGCAGCAGCGGCGGTAGCAGTGGTCATGGAGCATGGCACACCGCGCCTTCGAAGCGCATTTCCACAGACACCACGACGAGGAGATGGCGACCGAAACCCGCAGCAAAGAGCGAATCCTTTCCGAACATCAGCACCCTCGAGCCAGCAGAAACCGCTACCGCAAATAGCCACTCTCAAATCGTCGCCTGCGCCGCCAGCAGAGCCTCTCATTCCCGAAACTATCATCGATGCTCCTTCACAAAGACTCTATGCGGTCGCTTTCTGGATTGCGCTATGGGGATGGCGATTATTCGACTTCAGTAATTTGGTGGACGCTGAAGAGCAGAGCTTGTGGTTGTTTATGAAGTGGGTCGCCATAGATGGCGTGTTCCTGTTTGGTCTACCCGGATTGCGGATACCATGGCTAGAATGGAGCTCTGCGACCATGACGTTGATTTTCCTGGCGCACGCCGTGGCGGATGGAATGCTCATGTTCAGGATCCCAATTCCGATCATGGCAGGACTTGCGGTGCTGTGGAGAGGAGTGTGGGGAGCGTATGAGACGGCCATCAACGAGCACGGCGTCAACCCAGACACTGTCTTGTTCAACGATAGCTTGATCTTGGGCCGGCAGATCATTCACATCTTGCCAGAGGGCAGCGCGATACTGAATCCTGAAAGACATGCTTTCTGCATCGATGGACAGGCGAAGAACGAAGTCAGACTCCCCATCATGATCAACGCGACAGAACCGATTGGGATAGATATCATGCATGTGGACCTGGACACGCAGGCGAATAGCACCATTCGTATCAGCAAGAGCCAGATCAAGGCAATGCACAAGGAGGCAAGCAGATTGATCACATACAGCGATAATCCGAATGAGCCCAAGACACTATACTTTACCGTCAAGAAACCAGGACTGTACGCCTTGGCCAAAGTGGTCGATGCGTCCAATCTGGAAGTGAGCAGAAAGAAGCTAGCGCATACGGTTGTTGTGCCTTGCCCCAGGGCTGAGTTTCTGCCTGCACAGGCGGACCGATGCAGGGGCGAGCTGTCAAACATCGAGCTGGAAGCCGTGGGAACACCGCCAATGAAGATAAAGTACCGCAAAGTGGTGAATAAGACGCCTCAAACATCGACATTTGAGAACATCCAGCCTGAAGATCTGGTCTCGCCGTTGCTCAAGCAGAATATTGATGCACTCGTGGTACCAAACAAGGTCGATACCTCCTGGGCGAAGTCGCACACTATGCGCGTACCACTGAGCGAAGGTCTCGTCACGTCTGGCACTTGGGTCTACGCGATTGACGAGGTTGTGGATGGTTTCGGAAATCGCGTACAATACTCAGCGAACAGCCATAAACCTGAGGACAAGAAGAACGCGAAGACGACGCATCATCTCCATCAGTACATTGAGGTTCATGAACGCCCTGTGATCAATCTCAAAGGATGTACACCGCAGCAACCACTGAAGGTGCCAAAAGGCAAACCGCGCGCGCTCCCGGTTCAATATGCTTCGACAGGGCGCGGAGCGATACCGGACACTCCCTACAATATCGAATACATTTTCAGCCCGCAAGCTGACATGAGTTCTACCAGTGGCCATGGCCCTGCGCCACAGATCAGGAAAGAGACAGTCAAGAATGCGAGAGAGGTTCCATACATATCGGAGCCGGGCTTATACACACTAACTGGTGTGTCTACCGACTTCTGCTCTGGCGATGTCCTCGAGCCCGCGTCGTGCTTGTTGGAAAATCCTCCCGAGCCACGACTTCAAATCAGTTTCGACTCGATCCATGACAAGTGCGCTGGTAGCTCGATTGGCCTCCGCGTCGATCTTGATCTAGTCGGAACGCCGCCGTTTGAAGTCGAATACACCGTGTCTCGCAAGGGTCAGAGTCATCACGAAACGGGCCGTGAGAGGATCAATGGCCTGCGCGGACAGATAGAGCTCACCCCATCGGAGGCTGGATCCTACGAGTACAGGTTCACCAAGATCAGTGATGACGTCTACAAGAGACAGGAACTCTCAGGCGAGCACTTGACGCTGCGGCAAGATGTGAAGCCATCTGCGTCGGCACGGCTCGTACAGCAAGGCAAGCAGATCACATGCATCGATCACGCTGCCACGTTCGAGGCACAGCTGACTGGCGAACATCCTTTCAAACTTGACTACGAACTGATACACAATGGCAAGCGTCACAAAATGAGCCAGGAAAATATCAGTTCCAATTTCCTCCAGCTCGAGACACCAATCCTGAAGGAAGGTGGCGACTACACCATGGCACTCGTCAGCATTACAGACAAAAATGGATGTACAGAGTTCTTGAAAGATGAGGCCAAGGTCACAGTGCGACACCAAAAGCCAAAGGTCAGCTTTGGGCAGATCGAGGGCCGCCGCACTGTCGACACCCTAGAAGGCAAGCAGGTCGCGCTGCCATTGCGACTCTCCGGCGAAGGTCCTTGGACTGTGCGGTATCTGGACACCCAAGGGCACGAGCAGATCATCAGGCCTAGGGGACCGAATGATCGACTTGATGTTGACCGGGAAGGCATTTACGAGCTCATCAGTGTCCATGACAATGTGTGTCCGGGACTAGTCGACACCGGCGCGAAGGATTTTCAGATCAACTGGATTCCGCGACCACAATACCGAATCTCGCCTAGCGACATCGCAAGTCAGAAGGGTAATGTTCTTGTGCGCGCTGAGGTGTGCGAGGGTGATGAGGATGCAGTGGAAGTGCTGTTCAAAGGTTCACCTCCGTATGAGCTTACATATGTGCAAACCGTCAAACCGGACTCAGGGACTGTGGCACCGCGCACGAAGGACCTCCGCGCTGCGGTCAACGTCGCAAGTCTTCGCATGGAGACGGCCGTTGCTGGCGCATACGAGTACAAATTCTCCAAGCTGAAGGATGGTAATTACGATCACTCGTCAAAGCACTTCACTCCTCTGAGTATCACGCAGAAGGTCAACGCTCGGCCGTCTGCAGCATTTGTCACCCCGGGAAAGACGTACAGCTTCTGCTCCGTAGAGTCAGACGGCGAGGAAGTCATACCTGTCAGCCTGCATGGAGTACCGCCATTCGAACTGGAGGTGGAGATCAAGCATCACGGCACAACCAAACCTGAGATGGTGCATTACACCAACATCGAGAGCAAGAGCCACAGCATCCGCATTCCACACTCCCGTCTGCATCTTGGCAAGAGCGCTGTTTCGCTTCGACGAGTTTCGGATGCTCGGGGCTGTTCACGTTTCCTTGACAATACAACTCCTCGCGTCCAGATCAGCGTTCACGATGCTCCAACGATCGTCAGCTTGGAGGAACGAACAGACTACTGCGTAGGAGACCGTCTCAATTTCGGTCTCTCAGGTGTCGCACCGTTCCAAGTTTTCTACACGTTCGAAGGTCATGCGCGCAAAGCTTCCGTCAGCTCTGGCAACACGTTCAAGCGTCTGGCCGAAAAGCCAGGAACGTTCCAGATCACCGGGCTTCAAGACAGCGCCTCTTCCTGCAAAGCAAGCACAGATATCACCAAGCGCATCCACGGCATGCCCTCAGTTCGAGTCAGCAAAGGCAAGGACAGCTATGTGGATATTCACGAAGGTGGTCAAGCCGAGCTGACGTTTGACTTTGGCGGCACGCCGCCTTTCGAGTTTACTTATACTCGATCTTCAAATACCGACAAGCACGGCAAGAAGAAGGGCCAAGTACTTGATATGCGCAGCGAAGTGTCCGATGAGCATTCGATGCGTATTTGGGCGAGCGAAGAGGGCACGTACGAAGTGGTCAGCATCAAAGATGCACATTGTGCGTACACTAAAGCGGGAATCAATGTAGAGCAGGCGAAGGGTGCGAAGAAGAGGTTGGGATACTATTAGCCTTGAAGCGATGCTGAAATTTGGATTTGTGTAAGATTGGGGTCACTTTGAAACGGAACTGGTATGCATGGCGAGGCGTCTGGCGCTTTCTGGCAGCATGCAGATATGACGATACTGAGAGCGCAAAGAATTTTGCAGATTTCCATTTGTAGTCGAGACTCCGAAAACCGCTCTTCAGAGCTCTGTTCAAAATATGCCTTCTACAGAACAGTTCGTGAGTCGTCGATGATCAATACTTACCTCACAGCATTTTCAGAAGCCTCCCGACGCACGCCGTACCGCCAAACGCAGCACTGATACCGCAGAAGGTTACCAACACTCCGTAAGAAGTCCCATAGGCGAAGTCAGCAGTTGACCTCCAGCCCACTTCAAGCAACTTCTCGCTAAGTGGCCCAGAGACCACGCCGCCGATGCCCTTTCCAGCAGCCATTATCCCAATGACGATGCCAGTGTCGATGGCGCTGTTAGGTTCCAGTCGACTCAACGTCTTTGCACAGCCCGAATACGTCGCATTGTACATGCCTGCGAAGATGCCCCACAGTATGGCGAACATATACAGCATCGCTTGACCAGAAGTCAGACCCCAGAAGACGAGACTCGCAGTCATGCAACCAATAGTGGAGGTGAGTATTACTGTTGAGACATGGAATCGATCGCTCATGTGGCCACCAATGATGACACCAACCGAAGAGGCGCCATTATAGAACGCGAGACTCAGTGGGCCTGCGAAGGATGGAAGACCGAGCGATAGTGCAAATGTCGGCATCCACAGTGACGGGATGAAGACACCGAGAGATTGAAGAATATTCCCAATTTGGAACAAGAAGAACGACTTGCGTTTCAAGAAGCCGAGATCCCTTGGTCGGAGAGCTGAAGCAGTAGTTACTGGAAGTCGAGGTCGGATGGGTTGCAGTACCGGCAGCGTGATGACAACAAGGACAATCGCCCAAGTGCGTAGCGCAGTCCTCCATCCGTAGGTATTCAGCAACCACTGCAGCACAAACGGTACACCTACTCCACTGAAACCAGTACCTGCAAACATGATTCCGTATGCCATGCCTTTTCGTTGGACGAACCACTCATCAATGAATAAGTTGCTTGGAAAGTACAGCAGAATGCTTCCGATGCCGTACATAGCGCCTTGTGTTGCAATGAGACCTGCGATCGTGTTGCAGAAGCTTGCACCGACAAGCCCAATGGCCATGATTGCCAAGCCGAGATACATGCAAGGTCTGCGAGTCCAAGGAAAACGCTGCATGGCAATTCCAAGAAACGGGCATGAGAAGTATGAGACACCGATTGTGGTTGTGCCGATGGAGGCGATGCTTGAGGATTGACCGACGAGGTCTGGGCTTTCTTGGTAGTAGGATTGGAAGATACCGAAGGAGAAAGGTCTACGTGTTGGATTAGAGAATTGTCGGGAGCTGTGATCTGTGTCGGAACATACAGGCCCCACACAATTGCTTCCAAGGTGAAGCATGCTGCTAAAAACGTCCAAGCTTGCCAGCCGCCGTCTACAGGTGGGAGGGATTGTGAAGGGTGTTGAACATCTTCGCTCACTTCCTCGAGTTGATCCTCTGGCAGGCCGTGGCGATCGTGGGCAAGTGAGGCATTGTCGACACTGCCGCGAGGGTTTCGCTCGGTCTGGAGAGTCGTCAGTTGAATAGTGGAGTCCATTGTGAGCACTAAGAGTGTTCGTGAAGTGAGTCAATTTGACCATAGACGTCAATGGTGGAATAGGTGTTGGGTTAAGCTTTTCCTAGCGAGCATTTAGCCGAGACAACGTGGAGAAAAATAGCGCATCTCACAATCTGCGCCACGAACATCTTGTTCCGTCGCCCTCGCTTGTCCGACAGCATGCTGAAGTACCGCCGCTCGCAGCAGAGATGAGCATGAGCATTGAAATCGGTCTTGCGCGAGCGGCGTTCCCGGAGAGGAGAAGGATGCCGGCGCAGAAACCAGAAGTCACGCGAACAACGTCATCCCTGCCGCCAGAAGCCGAGCAGGAAGCGTACAGCGTAATTTCACCAAGAGCGGCCGTCTCGAAGAAAGCTGCAATCGTCGACGAAGATGAGCCGCTGATCGATACGACGGAGCAATTGGCGCTGAAGTCGAAGAAGACCGATCGCGCCAAGAAGAAGCAGGAACGGAAGCTGAAGAAGGTGCTGGTCACGTCCGAGACGAAGTCGTTCCTCGAACTGCCAAGGGAGCTTCTGGACGAAGTGCTGAGCTATCTCGCCCCCAGCGATGTCATCCGGCTGCAACAGCTCAACAAAGCAACGCAGGCGTACATCACGGAGAACGAGGAGAGCATCGCCAAGACCATTATTGCGCGACGATACCATGTGCTTTCTCGCAGCTTCCAGTGTCCGGTGCCGTTCGAGCAACTGGACGCTCGCACACAATGCTCATTGCTCAGCTCCGAATGGCAGGACAAGAGCAAGCTGCACCGGAACTCCTACTATCAGATCGTGAGGCCGCTCGATCCAAGGAAGGTCTGTACATGCACGACTTGTATGCTGGCATGGAACAACCTGAACATCATCCTCGACCTTGCCCACTTTCAGAAAAATCTCAACGAGCGAGAGCCGATACCTCTTGTCCCGCGAGGCACAAGCCCGAAATGGCACACCGATCTGCAGGAGCGGAACGCAGCAATGGTGATGAGGTCCATGTACAATCCGCTGTGCTATGCGCTCATTCTCCAAGTTCATCTGGAAACTATCGTCGGTACTTTGACACGCACCGCTCGCGTAGGAAAGAAAGCTGCGCACCCGAAACGATTGTATCACATGTCGCCGGAGGACGTGACGTCGGGAACTGACATGTTTTTGGAGCGCAGTGGTCCGCCTTCAACGACAATCCCGTATCACCGCGACATGTACTACAATCTCGAGGCGTATGTACCGAACCGGGCTTGGAGCAAAGAGAAGCAAAAGTGGCTGTACGCGAGAGCGCCGCACGACAATGATCTGCAATGGATCGTCAGCCGGTTTGAGCCCGATCGCAGAGGAAGTGTGTAGGACAGAAATACTCATGGTAACGTGACAAAAGCGATTGTCCAACAGTATGGTCAGGGGTCACCACGGAGAAGCTGCTTTCGAGTCGTCGGCAATCCTTGCGCAAGCGACAGCCTTGGACAGCCCGTGCTCAGGCATTGGATCGAATTCGCATGAGCGCATGTCAGACTTCAGTGACGGAAAATGTGCATGGCGTCCATTGAGATGTCGCAAACCTCATCTCAAAATGAACGTGAGAGCGCCAGCTTCACGATCGAGGATGCTGAGGAGATTTGGAAAGCCGGTGCAATGCCGAAGCCAGCTATACTGTCCGGGGCCGAGCCGTTGTTCTAAGAGTCAGGTTCACAATTGCCGTTGACATGGGCATCGTGAGCTTCACTGTTTCAGAAGTCCATTACTTTGGACCAGCACAATTTTGAGCGCTGGAAGTCTGATGATCAGCCAGCTCTCGGTCAGCGAATGCTCGAACTTTCCTATGCTGCATCGCGCTATGCCAGGCAGTCGCGCTTGGCGATGCATCCGCAAAGCGGACACTCACGCCATTGCAATACAAGATGGCGACGAGAGACTGTCGGGTAGCAGCCTTATACAGTACAAGCGCCGTTTGTTGCCAGCTGGCACATCTAATTCCAATGAATGAGGCTATTGGCGGTATGACGATATCGAATCCCTTCCACTCGCTTTCTCAGCATCACGTTGAGGTTCATCGACAAGCAAGATGAATTATGGGCTGGGTTTACATAATTGCTCATGCGGTACCTATTCGTGGAGAATGCCTTGTCTCCACCCGCGTGCGCGTCCGCGCAGGGTTTGTCAGGTACAGCAATTGGAGGCCTTTCCGCGAACATGGATGAAGCTGTTGTCGCAAACTTTAAGTTTTAGCTGCTGCTTCTTCGAACGTCACGCCTAACGCTCGAACCGTTGTCATCTTTTTTGAACGCTGGCGACATGCGATCAAGTCTCTCTGCCGCAAGGGCAAGAGTAACCGCACAGTATTTCTTGCATTTTTCTGCGCGCTGGGCGACGTATTGGAAACGGAATGCGATGGCCTGGTCTGCACAAAAGCTAGAAATCCTTGATCGTCCACGATATACCTGGATCCTCGAGATTTGATATGCCAGGCCAATGCAGGAACATGAACTCTGTACGACGCTTCCAGCTGGGCAGCTCTGCAGGTTGTGTGCCTTCTTTGCCGAGGTCCCAAAGTCTGGGAGCATCTGTGTCAAGCCATTCTGTGATATACGAGTCGATTGTTCGACTGCTGATCAGGAGCGCATGTTGACTGTTCATGCCGCTTGATATGAACTTGGCTTAGAACGGCCAGCGGACTAATGCGGTCTTGCGGAGTCATCTACAACATCTCCGCATATGGGTATCCCCGCTGCAGCACAGACAAACCCATGCTCAACTCCTTTGAGAACCATGAATTAGGGCATGACGAGCACTGGGTCAGAGAAGATTCGACGATAATCGTCTTCTGCATTCATCCGTGCACCTTGCTCGATGCGCGGCCTGGTATGTTCGCCAGGTCGCCCATAACGGCTAATGGCGTATGAACCCTCGAAGCTCAGGAGAGTAATCTTACCTCGTACCAAGGCCCCAAGCATGATTAGAGGGCATGCAAGCGAAATGCCAGCATTTGGCAGCCCCACGTTGCGATATATAGAGATTCCTCCTGAGAGAAGGTCTTTTCTCCTCACCGACAACCGCTGTTGCGGACCACCTTCATTCACACTCGTTTAGTTTGCTCTACATTCGTTTTGGAGCCAACACCATGGTGTCCAAAACTGTCACTCGTTCTTTGTTATGCTTGGCCACTGTGGCCTCTGCACTGCCCAAGGGTGGTGAGGATGGCAACAAGCAGCCAGAATGGTTTCAGCGCAATCTGAAGGCCATTCAGTCGGTTTACGACTCGACTGTCTCTCCAGCAAACTCCGCATCGGCCAAGCAAGGCAGGAAGGCAGTCCGTGGCCTCTTCGCGCCCGACGCGATTGGACGTGTCAATCCTGACGGCAAGTTCGCAGACTTCGAAGATTCGATCGAGGACTTCTTTGCACTGGCTCCTGCTCCAAAGATCAACGCTGCCAGCACAGAGGGAACATACGAGGCCGAGATCGTCGACTTTGTCTCAGACTGCCCTGATGTTGCTTCCTCGTTGGTCTACTTCCGTCCCGCAGCCGAGGAGAAGAAGGTTGCGTCCGATGCTCACCGCACTCTCCGTCGTCGTACTTCCAACGACGATATCGTGCTCTCCCAAGTCGCCTTCTGGCGTTTCAACGGCGCTGGCGAGATCGAAAAGTTCCAGGCTTGGCTTCCAGATCTTCAGGCGTGGGCAGATGAAGAGGCCGCGCCTGAGCACGGTTTCACCTGCTCCACTTCTGCTGTCCGTCACTCCAAGCGAGGTGATCATCCGTCGTCTTACGAGGAGAAGCCGACTCAGCAGTCACCACCAACGCCACCTAAGCCAGACACGCCAAAGCCAGACACGCCAAAGCCAGACTCGCCAAAGCCAGACTCGCCAAAGCCAGACTCGCCAAAGC